CTAATTGTTGCAGAAAATAAGAGATTCTGAGGGTAAAAGAGATCGTTATCTCCTGGTGACTCTTTTCCCCTCCTTCTACTCCAAAGCTTACTTGTGGTGCACTGAGTGTAGCAGATGCTGCCTTAGGCCTGTTTAAGAATCGCGTTTCAGTTTGTTCACTCTGCAGTGTTCACCTTAGTGTTTGGTTTCCAATTTCCTCTGCCGTAATTGGAAAATTGACACCTTCAGGAGATAGAGTATTGTGAATCTGACTTCTAACACCAGAGAAGAGTTTTCCTTGATGCCAGGAGATTAGTAGATGTCTTCTCTTGCAATTTTCTTACTATGTTTACATACTTTGTACCACCTTCAGATACAGTTACGTTGCATCCAGGCATTCTGGAAATGTGGATTCTCCTCATGTTCCATTCCAGAGCAGTTTCTTGTGCAAGATTAAGTCTGAATAATTTGTTTTTAAAATGCTGTAGCACCTTTGGGCTGCAAAAATATATCATAGAAATGATAATTGCTTAGTGGTTCTAACAGATGTATTTTTGCAGGGTGGTATCTTTTAGATGGTTTGTTCTTTCTTGCTATAAAGCTGGCCCCAGTTTATATAATAGCAAAAAAGATACTTTCCTGAAAGTATACTGATGTATAACTACTGTAATTCAGTGCACAGCTTGCACATCAGACTGAGGTCTGGCTGGTGCCATTAGGTCAGACACTTTCAGAGATCCACTAATTTACTTCAATTTCATCCAGCATTAATTCAGTATTATTCAGCTAATTAGATTAGGAAGTTTTCTTCTGTTCGTGCTTTCTACATTGACTTTTAAATGTCAATGACATTTTTTTAATACTTTGAAATTGTTTAAATGCGCAGAACAGCCTATTTCATTTTTACTTCTTAAGAATCTACTTTTTTGTTCTTTTATGTGATTATCTCAGTAGGAGAAGTTTCCAGTCCTGCAGGTTTAAAGTTTGGTTTTAAACCAAAAGACTGTAAAGGAATCTCAGTCTTTTTACTGGATCTAAAACTACCGTAAGGATATCCATTTATAATAAATTCTGTAATAATAACATGTGTAGATTAGGTTTGTCATACTGGTTTTGTAAATTGCCAGGACACCTTGAAAAGGAATCCATCAAACAGACTTTGAAGCTAAAGAGACACAAGACTTCTATGCCAAATCCAGTATTAGGAGATGTGCTTCATTTCCACAGAACACTTTAATCCAAGTTGTTCATTTCTTTGAGGACTCAGCATGTGGAGTTCTGCATTATAAGTATTATATAAAATATACATATTTTAAAGGAAATTAATTCCATTTTGGGGGAATATTTTGTAACCATGTCTGTTCCTTCAGTGAAGCAATTAATAATTTTTTTCAAAGACTGCTAAATCCCGCTAAAGACAAAATTAATTGTCCAAGTGAGAATTATTTTTTGCCTCTTACTAATTTTCCAAGGTTCAGGAAGCAAGAATCCGGTCAGTACTTATATGTAGAAATTTGCATCCTATACGGAAATTGGATGGGTGAAGAGTTTTCTTTTAATTTTTCAAAGCATGCCTATCTAATTAAACACCCTCTTGGAAGGTTTCAGAGTTCATACACTGTTTCTGATAATGTGGTGCCTGCTTCCATATCTGTGTGGTCTCCACAGTGAAAGCCGGTAGCAGAGATGCTGTGGTTTTGTCTGGACAAGGAGGAGACAGAAAGCCGCCTTGTCTTCTCTCCAGGAGAGGAATGGCTTTGGAATCCAAAAGACAGGATAAGGCTTGTGTGCCTCTGTGACCAAAGGGTGCTTCCTGGTGAGAGTGTGCTGGGCACAGGAGCCAGCATGGATACCTCGCCTGCCCCTCCACCCCCTGGGAAGAGAATGTTCTTCTTTCCAGCTGCAACCCCCTTTGTGCATACTTCGTTTGTGAACTGTGGGCATTCTGAACACTGGGGCCTCACATACTTGCAATTAGAATGTATAGCCTTCTAAACACTAGCTACTAATCCAGAGGTAGCTGGATGATTTGAGGGATTAGAAAAGAGACTTAGAAAAGAGTGACTTGTGTAGCCACAGTGCTTTTTTGGAGCTTAGCCGAATTCCACAGAAATTAGTGAAACGTTTGGGTTCATAGGTTGAGTTCAGTTGCCCTATTTTAGTGTGGAAAGCATGAAAGTCCAGTATCAGCCTTTATTCCTAGATTTCTGAGATACCAATCCTAAGAATACTTCGCACAAAAATAAGTACGAATCAATGTCAAATTAAGATCTTCAGAAAGCTGTTGAAGAATGTTTTGTGGAATAGCCTCAAAATACTTCAGCAATATTATTCATCCAATTATAAAAGTACTGGTCATATGAGTCAGTTTTAAGCTTTTAATATCTACAGAAAGCTGGGAAGTATTCTAATCTGAGATTTTAGATAATCTTATCTCTGTGGTGGGAGCAAGGGGTGTACTAACGAGTTCAAGTCAGGAGGAAGATAGGTTACATGCATCCTGGGGTTTCTGTGCATTTTTCCTATTCACCTGACTGCCAGTTTGTTAAATGTTAATCATCTTCTGCAAGATAAAAATCAACATGTTTTCTACTCCAATATTTGACCTTTTAAATATTCAATGTTCCCATTCTCGTCTTCCCAAGTTAGATTGAAAATGCAGAAAACTAATTAGAGAATTGATCAATAATGTCAGAATTCCACTCAACTAGCATACATTAGAAAATACTGACTTATCTATATAGAATCATAGAATGGTTTGGGTTGGAAAGGACCTTAAGATCATCTAGTTCCAACCCCGCTGCCATGAGAAGAGACACCACACACTAAACTATGTCACCCAAGGCTCTGTCCAGCCTGGGCTTGAACACT